ACTCCAGCCTGGGAAACAAAGCAAGACTCTGTCTCAAAAAAAAAAAAAAAAAAAAAAAAAAAAAGATGGTTTACATTGTTGTTAGTCTCATGTACCAGCGGTCCTGGAGATGAGGGCAGGTGACAGGAGCCATAAGAGGATGTGGACAGAGACCTGCTCAGAAAGGCCACCTATTGAATGAAAGCAAAAATGGATTCTTGGCTATTAATGTGAATACGAAGCACATACCGAGGAGGTAGGGACCAGGACAACTCTCAATATTTTTAAACCTATCATTTATTGCATTCTCACGATGCTTACGGCATGGGACCTAGCGTCCCCCACATGTACAACCTAATAGGTAGGGAGTATTTATCTCCCATTTTGCAACTAAGGGATTAAGGCTTAGAAAGATTAAGTAACTTTCCTAAGAAAGGATCCAAACCCAGTTTGTCTGATTATAAAGTTCAAGATGTTTATCATTTGCCTATTGACCATATTATCTGTTTTTGCAGTATGATTATTTGAAATGCAAATTAAATAATTCCTGGTTCCTAAGCAATGACTGTAAAACACAAAATCTTGTCTCAAGAGAGGGTAGATGCTTCATTTGTATTATGGAGACCAGGAAAGGGAGGAAATTATGAAAAACATGTAAAGCTAAATAAATACCAGATAAAATTGAAACCTTCACAGAAGTAGCAAGCTTTGTTCCTTACATAATTGATGATACCTTACCAGAATTCTAAATCCAAGGCCTGCTGAGAGAGTGACCCTCCCCTCGTCCCCCATAATTTCTGGGAGTTCTCAGAATTCAGCCCTCAAATTTCTGTCTGTGTACTCCTGTATCCACTTGCTACCTCTCTTCTGACCCACTTCAAAACAGGCACAAAGACAACTCTCTTCACCAGGTCCCACACCGCCACAAATTCACTCACCAGAATGCATGCTGTTAGTAGAGAAGCTTTGCTGAAGGTTGGGGGACGGTCCGGTCACAGGAAGGGGTGACATGACGATGCTCAGTGTCTTCTCCCATATCCCCGTATCCACTGCCCTCTCTTCCTCCTTGTTCCTCCTATCCCAGAAAGAACAAAATCTTCCTCTTGCCTCATGGAGAACAATTTTTTGAAAATCTTTTTTTTTTTTAAGAGACGGCGTTTCCCTCTATCGCCCAAGCTGGAGTCCAGTGGCCGATCTTGGCTCACTGCAACCTCCGCCGCCCAGGTTCTAGCAATTCTGCCTCAGCCTCCCGAGTAGCCGGGATTACAGGCGCACGCCGCCACGCCTGGCTAATTTTTTGGATTTTAGTAGAGACGGGGTTTCGCCATGTTGCCCAGGCTGGTCCTGCACTCCTGAGCTCAGGCAATCCACCTGTCTCGGCCTCCCAAAGTGCTAGGATTACAGGAGTGAGACACTGAGCCTGGTTGAAAATCAGTTTACCCCTAATTTTAGAAAGGTAAACTGGTGCATTCCTGTTTATTAGCACAACACACCCCAATAGTGTCTGAAGCAGCAATCAAACACATCAGTGTTTTTGCAGCAAATGAATATTGACATCAGGTGATGTGAATAAAGCCTTAGCTAGCCTCACTGTAGTTTAAAATTGGCCACCAAATCAGATCAACTCAGCTCAAATGTTGCACTCAACAGATCTTTTTCGAACTTCGACTATCAGAGTTTTGAAATTTAAGTTGTAAATAAGAGATTGTAGACCTGTATAGGAGAACACCACTGCGCCAGGCTTAATAATCTGGCTCCTGACTAGAGAAAGCTGTCATTTTAATCATTGGCTATACAATACTTGACACCTTTAAAAAGAAAAACTTAAATGCCAGATGGCAGACTTGGCCAAATGGAAGAAGTTAAACACTCCTTTTTTATGTCTGTCTGAGTCTGTTCAGGCTGCCATAGTGATATCACAGACTGGGTGGTTTATAAACAATAGAAACTTATTTCCCACAGTTCTGTAAGCTGGGAAGTCCTAAATTGGGGTACCAGCAGGTTCCATTTCAGGTGGAGGCCCAATTCCTGATACATAGACGATTCCTTCTTGCTGTGTCTTCACGTGGTGGATGGGACTAATGAGCTCTTTGGGGATCTCTATTGTAAGGGCACTAATCCCATTCACCTAATCACCTCCCAAAGGCCCACCTCCTAAGACCATCGCCTTGGGGGGTTAGAATATTAACATAGAATTTATAGATAGGGGGTACACAAACATTCAGTCCACTACAGTATTTCAGGAAGCTTCCACCAGATGAACTTGTCTTTTAAGTAAAAAGAATCCCACCCCCACCAATTAGACTGTCAACAGTAAAACTATATTGGAAGAAAGGACTGGCTTATCAGATAAGAGAGGAACAGCTGTTCCAATTGGCCAGGGAGACCAGGTTGACATTTGAGTTTAAACCCATTCCTGTTATGTGAGGTGGCCTCTATCTGAATGGTCCTTTAAGTTTATATGAAAAGTAAAAGCAAAAAAAGTTTACATTAGAACTTATTTCGCTAGAAGGCAGCTGAGAAAGCAAGGCGTGGGCAGTTAGTTTTTTCCTTGATGTAGCTCTGTAAATCTTTAGCAAAAAGGCAGTTTTCACTCAAAATAAGTCCTCCCAGATTAAACAACAACAACAACACATGCAGACAAGCACCTGATTTTGCTTCTGAAGAAGGCAGATTAAATAATTCAGACCCATACTCCTGAAGGGTAAACTACAGATAACTAAAAAGACTGTATAAAGTATGTTTAAAATCTTCTTAAAAGCATCCAAGAGTTAATAAGTTAATAAGACGTTACTAGCTTTAAGCCCCAAGAAAGGGCAGAAATCAGAAGAAATGAGCCTTGTATTCAGGGTCACTTGAGACATTTTGTTACCCTGGTTAGAGGTCAAAAGTTGGAAATCATGGCTTACCAAAGGTATGGATGTTGCTAAGCCACCTCCTGCTTTGAGGTGGAACGGTAAAGGAGCTACATTCTAAGACGGGGTGGATGGGAGGTTGAGCAGCACTCACATTTGGGTGTGGGCTGGATTCACTGACTCGCTCTCAACTGATTTTAGCAAAAGTGCCAAGGCTACACAATGGGGAAAGGAGAGGCTCTTCAATAAATAATGCTGGGAAAACTAGATAGCCACATGTAAAAGAATGAAATCAAACACCCTTATCTTACACCATATGCAAAATGTAAACTCAAAATGAATTAAAGGCTGAAGACCTGAAATTCTAAAACTCCTAGAAGAAAACGTAGGGAAAAATCTTCTTGATACTGGTCTTGGCAATTATTTCTTGGATGTGACACCAAAAGCATAGGTCACAAAAGCAAAAAGAGTCAAGTAGGACCACGTTAAACTAAAAAGCTTCTACACAGCAAAGGAAACAATCACTGGCATGAAAAGGTAACCTTGGAAAGAGAAAATATTTGCAAACCATATATTTGATAAGGCTTAATATCTAAACTATATAAGAAATTAATATAACTCAGTGAGAAAAAGTAACCCAATTAAAAATAGACAAAGAACCTGAATAAACGTTTCTCCAAAGAAGTCATGCAAATGGCCAAATGGTACATAAAAAAGTGTTCCACACACTAAGCATCAAAGAAATGCAAATCAGAACTACACTGAGATATCATCTCAAACCTGTCAGGACGGCTGTTACCAAAAGCCCAAAGGTAACAAGCTTTGGCAACGTTATAGAGAAACCGGAAGTTTTGTACCCTGTCGTTTGGAATGTACAGCTACTGTGGTAAACAGTAAAGAATCTCCTCAAATTTTAAATTTTGTCCTCAAAAAATTTAAAATGGAAAACCATAGGACCCAGCAATCCCACTTCTGATACATATCTAAAAAATCACCATCTCCAAGATACACCTGCATTTCCACGTTCACTGAAGGATTATGCACAATAGCTAAGATACGGAAGTAACCCAAATGTCCACTGCCATGTATGGAGAAAACTAGATGGCATGTAAATACAATGAACTACTATTCAGCCTTATAAAAGAAGGAAATCCTGCTATCTGTGACAACATGGATGAACCTGAAAGAGATGATGTTAAGTGCAAACAAGCCTTTTAGAAGAGGGAAGATATTACATCATTCCATTTACAGAAGGTATCTAAAATAGTCACTCGCAGAAGCAGAGAATAAATAGTGGTTTCCAGCAGCTGGGAGAAAGGGGGAGTGGAAGGTTGTTGTACAATGGCTGTACAGTTTCAGTTATACAAGATGAATACATTCCAGAGATCTGCCGTACGACATAATGCTTAGAGTTAACAATGCTGTATTGAGCACTTAGAAGTTTGTTCAGAGGGTAGATCTCATGTTCAGTGTTCTTACCATAATAACAACAACAACAAACATCCCATCAAAAAAGACCAAAAAGCAAAGAGATACAAGGAAACTTTTAGAGCTGATGACTATGTGTATTGCCTTGATTTACAGTGATGGTTTTGCGGTATGTTCATATGTCCAAACTCATTAGGTTGAATACATTAATATGTGCAGTTTACATGGATGAGCTTGGAGGACATTAGGATAAATTAACTAAGCCAGGCGCAGAGTGGTAAATCTGCATGTTCTCAGTCACATGTGGAATCTATAAAAGTCGGTATCAGAAGTGGAGAGGCAGGGAAGGGGCATGGGGAGAGGGGCTGACTAAAGGCTGGTTAACACATACAAAAGTACAGCTAAATGGAAGGCATAAATTCTAGTGCTCTGTAGCACTTTAGGGTGAGGATTAATTGTATATTTTCAAATAGCTAGAAGAGTAGATTTTGAATGTTCCCAATACATAGAAGCGATAAATGTGCGAGGTGACGTATTTGCTAATTATCCTGATTTGATCGTCACACATTATATACTTGTATCAAAATGTCACATTGTACCCCATAAATATGTACAATTATTACATGTCAATTTAAAAATAATAAAAAAGCAAAAAGATAGTAAAAATATGTAGTTTTGTATATCAATTATACCTCAATAAAGCTGTGTTTAAAAAATCTAAAAACCAAGAATTTGGCAATATGTAAAAAGATTTATACACTTTGACCAGGTAGGCTTTATTCCAGTTATGCAAGCCTGGTTCAACTTTCAAAAATCAACGTAATCCACCATATTAAAAGGCTAAAGAAAGAAAAAAATCATGTTTATATAACTAATGTAAAAGCATTCGATAAAATTCAACACCCACCTATTTGTTTTTTTCTGAGAATTATGACAAAATTCTCAGAAAAAGCAGAAATAGAAGGCAAACTTGGTACCTATAGCTAATCTCTAATTAATCATGAAAGACTGAATGAATGCTTTCTCCCTATCAAAATACCAGTGAGAATTTTTGTATTCGTAGATATAGAGGAAATTAATAAACAGAAAGGCAAAGAAACTAGAAGAGCTAAAACAATTTTGAATAGAAAGAATAAAGTGGGCAGAATCAGTCTACCCAATTTCAAGATTTATTATATAGCTCCAGTAATCAAGACTGTATGGTATTGGTGGAGAGACAGACACATAGATCAATGAAACATAATAGAAAATCCAAAATAGACTGCAACAAATATGCCCAGCTGATTCTTGACAAAGGTACAAAGGCAATGGTGGACAAATAGCCTTATTAACAAATGGTGCTAGAGCAATTGCACCTTCTTAGGCAAAAAAAAAGCAGAAGAAGGGGAGGAAGAAGAAGAAGAGGGAGGAGGAGGAGAAGGAGGAGGAGGAGGAGGAGAAGGAGGAGGAGGAGGAGGAGGAGGAGGAGGAGGAGGAGGAGGAGGAGGAGGAGGGGGAGAAGCATCAGCTCAACCTAGACCTCACATCTGATACAAAAATTAACTTATAATGGATTACCAACTTAAATGTGAAACAAAAAAAAAAAAAATAGAAAACCTTTGGGATTTAGGGCTAGGCAGAAAGTTCTTAGTCTTGATACCAACAGCATGCTCCATAACAGAAAAAATAGAAAAATTAGACCTCAAAATTTAAAAATGTCTCTACAAAGTACATGTAAAGAGGATGACTGGGGGAAAATATTTGCAAGCCACAGATCTGAAAAAGGACCAGGATCTAGACCAAGCTCGTCCAACTCATGGCCCATTGGCCACATGCCTCCCAGGATGGCTTTGAATTTGGCCCAACTTTCTTAAAACCTCACGAGAATTGTTTTGTGATTTTCATCAGCTGTTGTTAGTCTTAGTGTATTTTATATGTGGCCCAAGACAATTCTTCTTCCAATGTGGCCCAGAGAAGCCAAAAGACTGGACACCCCTTATCTAGACTATAGGGAGAACTCTGAAAACTCAACAGCCAAAAAAAAAAAAAAAAAAAAAAACCAGAAACAATCGAATTAGCAAATGGCCAAAAGACATAAACAGACATTTTACCAAAGATAGCATATAGATTAAAATACAGATGGAAATAAAGATGGCAAGTAAGCACAAGCGTTTGAAAAGACATCCGACATCAGAGGAACGGAATTTAAAACCACAATGACAAATCACTATACATGTATAAGAATGGGTAAAAGTTTTAAAATATTGACACCAAACTCTGCCAAGGATGTGGAGAAGCTGGATGATTCATATCTTCCTCGTTGGGATGTAAAATGGTATAACAATTCTGGAAAATAGGCTGGCAGTCTCTAAAAACTAAGCATGTGACTACCATATGATCTAGCAATAGTTCTCCTGGGCATTTATCCCAGAGATCTGAAAATGTATGTTCACTTGAAAACCTGTATAAAATGTTTGACAACTTTATTTGGTTTTTGTTGTTGTTGAGACAAGGTCTTGCTCTGTTTTCCCAAGCTGAAGTACAGTGGCTCAAACATAGCTTACTGCAACCTCCAACTCCTGGGCTCAAGGGATCCTCCCCCTGTAGCCTCCTGTATAGCTGGGATTACAGGTGTGAGCCACCATGCCCAGCTGCTAATTTCTAATTTTTTTAATGTATAGACAGGGTCTCACTATATTGCCTAGCCAGTCTGGAGCTCTTGGGCTCAACTGATCCTCCCACCTCAGCCAACTTAATTTGTAACATCCCTAAAACTGTAATATCCCGTCAAACCCTAAATGTCCTTCATTAGGTGAATGGTTAAATAAGCTGGTGGTGCATGCATTCCATGAAATACTACTCAGTAAGAAAAAGGAACAAAATATTGATACAACAACCTGCAACTCAGGTTGCCAAGTGGGAAAAAAAATGCAAAAGGCTACATATGGATTCAAAGGGTTACATATGATTTTTTAAATATAACAATTTGAAATCACATTTTGGGAATGGGAAACAGATAAGTGGTTTCAAGAGGTTAGAGGTGGGAAGGGGTGCCCAGGGGAAGTAGGTGTGGCTACGAAAGCACAATATGAGGGATCTTGCGGTGATGGAAATGTTCTGTATCTTCACTGTGTCAATGGCAATATCCTAACGATGATACTTTACTATAGTTTTTGCAAGATATTACCAATGAGGGACATTGGGTAAAGGGTACTTGGAATCTCTCTGTATTATTTCTTATAATTGCCTGCAAATCTACAATTATCTCAAAATGAAGTCTGATTTTAAAAATGACTCTTGATCAAAAGATACCATTAAATGAATAGAAGATACTTGTAGTCTCTAACTGACAAAAGCATGAATTTATAAACAGCTTTTATGAATCAATAAGAAAAAGCTAAAAAATGGGCAAACATTTGAACAGGCATTCAGAAAACAGAAAATTTAAATAGCCTATAAACACGTGTAGAAGTGTCCAATTTCACTGTTAATTAGGGATATGAAATGACGAGCACAATGAGACACCATTACATCTCCACCAGACTGACAAAAAATAAAAAGTCTATTATATTTTGGCAAGGATGCAGAGCAATGAGATCTACCACACATCTCTGATGGTAGTGTAAATTTTGTGACCCACTTTGGAAAGCAATTTATCATGATCTAATAAAACTAAATATATGCATACCCTATAGTCTAGTAATTCCACTCCAAGGTATACATCCTAAAGATTGTACTTACATACCAGGAGATATATACAAAAATCTTAGCAATATCATTTGTAATAGCCCCAAATGAGAAAAAAATCCAAATGTCTAAAGTGCCAGAATGGACAAAGAAATTGTGATATGTTCATACAAGGGAATATTAAGTAGCAATGAAAATGAATGAACTACAGCTACATGCCACAAAGTAGATGACCCTTACAACCAGATGGAAGGAGAGGCCAGATGCACACACGAATATGCATCCAATATTATTCAATTTATAGAAAGTTCAAAACCAAACAAAACTCAGCGGTAGTGGTTAGAGATTCCTACATTACAAATTGGTAGGAACTTCCTTATATACATTTGAATATGTATTTGAAGCTTCCTTATATACATTGGTAGAAAGATATATAAGGAAGTAATTACCATAAAGTCAGGACAGTTGCTTTAGGGGGAAGGGACGGACTTGTGGAAGGGAATTGGTGGAGCAGGGGAACCTCTGAGGTGACAGCAATGACGTGGGTGGTGTTCGGTTTTTGATTCATTAGGCTATGAAGGTATGTTGTCTTCACTTTTCTGTGTGTTATCGTTTATAACAAAACCACACACCCTCTTCATATGTCATTGTTTCGCCTTTGAGATGACAAAGGAATATAGACATGAGCCTTAAGTGTGCTGAGAAAAGATGGCACCTGAAAATCTGAGCTCAAAATTCAAAACCTGTGAGGCGAGTTAGGGTAAAAAGTGGAGTGCTGCAAGACACAGACTTGCCGGAATGATGAGGTGGTGGCTTGCCTTGGAATTTTTTTTTTTTTTAATAGTACGTTAGGAATAATAAGGTTGCTCCAGGTGCTAAATTTCTTACTCCCCTTCTTCAGAAGTTGGACCTAGGCCGAGGGTCCACGGTTTTTAAATGTTTTGGAGTTTTTTTTATTTTGTTTTTCAAGTTGATTCCCTGATCACCTTTGCCTTGAATCCCCCTAACTACCCTGCATAAGAAGAGAACTTTTGACGCAGTGGGAACGCTCCCTTCCGGAGCGTTAACCGGGGTGACCTCACCCCTCTCTCCTCGCTGTCTTCAGTCCAATCAAGATCAGAAAGCAGGATCAAGAGAAAGATGATCAGACCGGAACAGGTATAGGGATGCTTCGGAAGTGCGGAGAAGTAACAGCTTATCCCGCCTCGGGCTGTCATGTCCTCTCCGCTGACCCTCTGAATTGCTGATGTCAGAACTTACTGGGTGGGGTACAGCACAGAAGCAACTCGTAGAATTTCACGACATTAAAAGGAGGTGATTTCAATCAAGAAATCTAGCGCATAGTTAAGGTTTCTCCTCGTGTCGAGGCATTGCTTCTCCCGTCCTGCCTCTTCCTGCCAGACCTCACCGCCACAGCTCCAAGGACACCCTGACTCCGATCCCGCCCCATCACAAGGCCGGGGTACCCTTCAGCGGCGGGGACATCCAGGTGTCCCTGGATCTCCAGGGCACAGTGCGGGCCGGAAATAGGAACGCAGAGGAGCCCTTCGGGAGGCTCTCGAGGCAGTGCCTTTCCAGTGGACAGCGACACACCCTGGCCCCTAAGATTCTCTTGCTCTCCGAATTTTCCGTGCTGGGCCCGATCTGTAGCGCGCAAAGTCCTCTGTACTGAGGCGTTCCCAGGGCGCCCAACTCCCGAGTGTCCATTTCTCAGGCAAAAAGGCGGCGGGGCTGAGGAGGGGTCTTTGGAAGGCGCCCGCTGCGCTGTCTCACTGAGTCTCTTCCCTCGGCCCGCGTGCATCAGCCTCTCTGGCGGGGGATTCTCCCCGGACTCCGGCCAGCGCCAATCAGGTCGCGCGGTACCTGCCCCCAGCCCCGGCCACCTGGAGGGGCGATGAGGCTCCACTCCCGGAGCTGGGCAGTCCTCGGAGCACCGGGAAGGCCGCGGAGCCTCACGTGTGCCGCCCCAGCCGCTGGCGCCGGGAAGGACGCGCGCCGACCCCGTGGGAGCCGAACGCGGGAGTCGCTGCCCAAGCGGAGCTGCTCAGCGCGGTAACGGGTCGGAGCCTCCAACGCGCAGAGGAGCGAGCGGAGGGGCGGGGCGCGGGCGGGCGGAGGAGCCGCGGGGCACGGGCTCCGCGCGGGGATTGTGTCCGGCCACCGCGTACTTTCGAGGGCGCCTCTACATTCGGGTAAGCGCGTCCCGCTGCCTCCCTCTGCCCACCCCGCCGCCTCGAGAGTAGCAGTTCCCGACTGGGTCTGGGTCGGCTCCCGGCTCTCCCTCTCCGCGCCACCGGCCTCTAGCTCCGAGGGCCGCGGCGGCTCGGGGGTATCTCTGGTTTCGTGGCCAGGCCGCAGGTTGGGGCTGGACTCGCCGGGTCCCTGCCCCGGGGCGGTGCCGAAGGCGCTCTACTCAGCGTGTCTGCACCCACCGGCTTCTCGGCACCTTCGGCCGGGCCGGACCTCATGCGGACGCCGCTGCTGCTGCTGCTGCTGCTGCACCACCTCGAGCCCGCCGCCACCCGGAGCATGAGGCGCGGGACGCCGGGGCGCGGGGGCCGGGACAGAGGACCCGGGAGGGTTGGGGCCCGGCGGGCGGGGGCTGCTGGGCCAATCCGCCGCCGCCGTCGATTTGTGCGTCCGGGTTCGTGTCGGGGACTCTGGGCAGCCTTGCTCCTGGGGCTCGGTTTGCTGGTGATTTTTCCTAAGTTTTACAAAATAAAGAGGGCGATGTGCCTTCGCGGCGCGGGGTCGGCAGCAAGGGCCTGTGGGAACCGGCGTCTCGGCCAGCAAGTCTGGGGCCGGGATAGCTGGGGTGGCCGGGAGAAGCCAGACTTGCCGGTGGGGCCGTGGTCCGCTTGCTCCCAAGGCCACAGAGCTGGCGGCCGCACCAGGATTCCGGAGGGTCCTGCATGCTCGAGGCGCCGGCCACACCGAAGCCCCCGCTCCGCGGCCGGGAGGAGGGCCTAGTCAAGCAGAGAGCAGAGCGGCGAGCAGAAGGCAGCGTCCGGACGAGGCCCGCATTCCGCTGCGGGGGCCCTGCTGCCTGGCCTGGCCGGGGTGGGGCGGGTGGAGGCCGAGCGCGGCACGCCGGGGTCCTGGGTGGGTGGCGTCCTGGTTCTCTGCGGCTCCGAGGGCCGCGAGGGACGGCGGGGGTGCAGATCTGTTCCATCGGTCAGCGCCCTTTGGGTGACACATGCCAGCCAAGTTTGCCTGTCACACTGGTGTGGCGGTTCCTTTTCTTTGGGTGGAATTGTGGGCCCCTGGAAGTTTGCTCGTCCTGGCAAGTTTGACCTGACGGAGGCAGCATCCAACCTGCAGGCAGAGGCCTGCAGGCACTTCCTCCTGTCCTTTCCCCAGCCTGGACCCTCCCCTAGGCCGCCCAGGGGGCCCGATCCCGAGATTCTAAGGGGGCCGCAGCGTGGCCAGCAGGGCTGACGTCTGCACAGTTGCGTCTGTGCCCCGCTTGGTCCTCCAGCCGCCGAGCCAGACACATGTTTGATGCCGTGTGGGAGACAAACAATGACCGCGGACTTCAATCCGGCAAATTCGCTTTGCCTAAGGTTCCCTAGGGTCTGGAGTGTCCCGAGGGGAAAGGCAGCTTTCCTTCTGCCCTAATGAGATACTTGGATGGAACAGACATTCAGACCCTGAAAGAGGCGGACCCAGGGGAAGGAAGAGTAAAGGTATATGTTCTGAAAAACGGAATTTCTCAGCCAGTTCTCTAGGGAGGTTCCAGCTCCCATGCCTGAGAGGATCGAAACCAGCAGGTACAGGGGCATGTTGGCGTCCAGAGGGGAAGTAATGTGTGGCTCTCGGAGGGTTCTGGGGGGGCATCAGGCAGATCAGCAGCGGCCCCTCCTCACAGGTTCCTGCTCTCAGGAGGAGCACAGCTGTTATTTCCACCATCCTGGGGGTGCAGGAGATAGGGCCGTACCTGTGTGGGAAAAGCCTGTGAAGTCCTTTTGAGTGGCAGGTGGGAGGGCCACAGGCCTGGATAGAAACCTGAGTTGTGGGCAGGACTAGCATTCCTGCCAGGGCTAGTGATCTGTATTCAGTGACCTCATCATGCATACTGTTCTGGAAAGGCAAGGCGAGATGGACTCGTGCGGGTGAGAGCAGGTCCCGTTTGGCCCAAGGATCTCTATTTTTTCTCTAGCTTGCCGGTTGTAATTGGATGAGTCCGGCTTAGTTCAGGGAATGCCTCAGTCTGAGTACAAACATCAGCTGGCAGCAGGGGACCCTGGCTGGAGCACAGTCCAGCCCTCACCCAGAGGCCTCTGCCGGGGTTTTCCTGATCTCCTGCAAACTTTAGAAGGCTAAGGTGGATGAGAGGAGGAGCTGGGAATCTTCTGGGAGTCATTTGGCTCTGGTAGGGCCATTCCAGAGTCTGTCCATTATGAAAGCTCCCCAGGGTTTAGAATCTGGCCTAGTGATTATTAACATTAATGAAAGTTGCTCCCACTTATTAAATACCTGCTATGTGCCAGACATAAGGTTTTGTAAAATTACTATTATTATCCCCATTTTTCATGTGAGGAAACCGGGTTTGGGGGCAGGGTAAATGATTTGCCATGATCAGAAAGCTACTCAGTGGCGGAGCCGTGCATGAAACCCAGGGCTCTCTGTTCCAAAGTCACTGGCCCTTCCCCAGGGCCACTCTCTTTCCATTAAGAACAGACACACATGTGGTAGGTGGAAATGCAGAATCGCCATGAATAAAGACTCTTGCTTATAGATCCAAGAGATATGTACAGCCCCATCAGACTCTAAACTTCGGAAAGCGCTGGCCTGGTAAACGAGATGTTCTTCCTTCCCTCCAGGACTCAAAGGTTTAAGTCCTACACAGAGGACTAATTTCTTTAATATGTAAAGTACAAATCTTTCAACTGGCAAACATCAAAGACATGGATAAACTGTTGATGTGGTTGTAGAAAAGCAGGGACTTCCATATATTGCTGGTGGGAGAGTAAATTGGTACAACTTCCTTGGAGGGTATTTTTAGAAACACTTGTCAAAATCGTAAATGTCCATGCTGTCTGACCCAGTGATTCCGTTTCTAGGAATTGAACTTGCTGCTATCCTTGCATATGGGCACAAAGATATATGTCCATTAGAGCACCATTTGAGCTGTGAAAGAACAACTTACACGCTTACCCAAGGGGTACTTGTTAAACGTCTCATGGTACTTCCAGATAGTCAAATAGTATCCTATTCATTCGTAGAAAGAGAATGAGTAAGTTTGCTATATAACTGATAGGGAATGATTTCCAAGACGTATGGCTAAGTGGAAAAAAACAACATTCTAGAGTGTTTATAATATGCTGCTGCTCGTGTTATACAAGAGGAAGGAGAATGGTAGGATGTTTGCTTGTCTGTGTTTAACTATAGACATAAAACCTAATACTACCTGTCGCCTCCAGGAAAAGTGGCCTATAAACCCTTTTGCACTTTTGAATTCTAAACCATGGGAATACGTTAACTATTTTAAAATCCTCTTTATCCATCCTATGCCTGATATGTTCTCTCAAACACTTCTCCAGCCAACAGTGTGGGGTGACACACCCCACCCCCTTCAGGTTGCTTGAGAGGTTCCCTTTGGATTAAAAGCCAAAGGTCTGTGAGAGTGCACAGTGCCCATAGTATCTGGGCCATGCAGAAATCCTTTGAAATATGCAGAGTTGTACTTGGAAAGCTGGGGAGAGGTGTCTTTGGACAGCAGGCTCTCTGAGCCGGGTAGGCAAGTTATGATCATCCAGCCCTGAAAACAATATGCAGAAATAGAAGCCACCCCTCTCTCTATTGCCCTAATGTTCCCTTGTACAAGATAAAGTGTCAGCAACTGGATAGCATTGGGCAAAGGAGCAAGGGGAACACTGTGACTGGACATTAGAGAGGGCAGAAGATATGTAGGAGGTCTATTGCTGGTGTTGCATTTGGACCTCAAAAAGGAGAAGAGAGAGATGCTTGAAAAAAAAAAAAAGGCTTGAAATTATCCTAGGGTCTAGAGCTGTTTTGCCCCAGAGAAAGAAGGAAGAATACTGGCACAGTTGTCACTGCATCAATCAGAGTGTCCTACATGCCCCTTTGAGCAATTTCTATCAGCACAGATGCCTGGCTCAGTTTCCCCTACTTTCAAGAACTCCCCTCTGCTGATCACTCAGCCTGGAAGCCGATGTTTACACAAAGGGGATGGTGGCGGTATTGGATGCTGCTTTTCTTTTGGGGGTGGGTGATGGGACAGGCTGTTGAAAAACAGAAGCAATGGAAGAAGGGCTTGCTTCCAGCCACAAAGATGGGTCCTCCAGCAGCGTTAGGTGGAAAGCCTTCACCGAGAGCTTTCCATGTTTCAGGCACTCTGCTAAGCCCACACTGTGTCATTGCATGTCTTTATCTCAGGTATGTGTGAGCACCCAGGCTCTTTTCTGTCAAGCAGCATGTCTTTCTTCTCCCCCTTCACTGACGTTTCCATTCTTTATGCAGTAAGCTGCAACACAGGCACAACTGCGTCACGTGGGTGCTTACAGACCCGCGTTTGGGTTTTAACAGCATGCGACTGAGCATTACATGCTTTGATGGATGAGTTGAAATTTCTGCAGTATGGATAGATTTGTGCAGGGCACAGTTCCGAAACAAAGCAGTCAGCGTCTGGGTCTGGATTTCCATTTCTCTTATTTCCACTTCTGTGTATGCATTAGGGCTGGGCTGAGTAGACTGTACATGTGATGTTCCCCAGGGAAAGGTGGAGGAGGAGGAGGAGGGCTTGTCATTGCTTTGGTGCAGACACCAGTGGTGTGGAAGGCTGTGAAGATGAGCTTGTGAGGCCCTGTGTCTGCACGCAAGGAGAAAGGTCAGCGGAGTGGCCCCTAAGCCCGAAGTCTGTGCTGGGAGTCTGTCTGTTGTTTGGAAAAAAAACAGCCTAAGAGCTGAGAGCCTCATTCATTGCAAACCTCCTCCTTCTCATTAGCCAGGGTTCACCTCTGACTCTGTTTCCACTTCAAAAAGAAGCAGCTCTAATTTTCCCCAAATAAATTCTGGAGCACACAAGGCAGCTGCTTTTTCTTGCGCTGCTGTTGCCCACAGTGGTGGGAGCAAGGAGCTGGGCTGGGTTCTCAGTTAGGGCTGCCAGAAGCCAGCAAGGAGAGGTCAAGTCAGAGAGCCCTACTGGTTAAAAAAAAAAAAATTCACCTTA